GTTACTGAGAGTTGCAGCATCCACATTATTTTTTTAAGTGCAGCCTGAATGCAACCCATAGGTGCACCATATTGTATTCACTTGATGGATTCCTTCATTTCAGAGAGTAGGGCACTATCGTTGTCATCAGAGACACAACAATATTTTCTGGAATGCACTTTGGGAAATGCTAAAGCATGTGAACTGCATTTAAAAGCTCAGGAATTATCTCTTCACCAGGCACAATTTGATTTTGCTCAGGGTCAACCTATGGACAAAATAATAAACCTATGTAAATGCTTTTGCTACTGGTTATAAAGAGTATCTATACAAGCCAATATTGTTGATTTCATATCATTTGAGAACTTGGGGAAAAGTCCTAAATGGAGTTTATTGTTACTGTTGACATTGTCTTTCATTAACTGGTACTTTTCACATGAATGAAGGCCTACTAATAATAGTTTTAATTGTTGATGGTCATTAAGTATTTCATACTGATCTGATTGAGAAAGGTTACTTGAAGGAATAAAACATAATTTAGAAAAATACGTAAGCCAATTTGATTAAAATTAATTATAACTATACCACAGTATTTGTTTCCATTTTAGCAGCTATTTTTTATATATCAGATAATAAATTGCATCATTTGTCTTCTTTTCCATTCTTGGTTTTGTCCCCATTAAAATACATATTCTAACCTGTGTGATGGCTTCACTGCTGAATTATACTTTTATACCTCTTGACTTTGTGCTTGGGTATGGCACTTCTTTTGCCCAGTGTACTACTTATGCACATGAAATATGCAGAGGCCTAAATTATATTATAAAATATGCATTGCTGTCTGCATTACTATTATTTTTTTGTTTTGAGAACATGCTTTGGGTAGCTGCAACTTCCATGTAAGGAGACTGAGTACACCTTGACACTGCCTGTAGGTTAGGACCAATTTCAGCAGTATCTAGCATAAGCCAGCTAAATTTTAGCCATTTTTCCTATGCTTGAACTTTTGCTATTGGAAGTTTTTTTCGTGACTGGTAGCACAACATTAATTTACAAAGCCTTGATTGATACACCTTGATTACAGGTACGAGTCCCTCATTATTTTGTGAACATCATACCTACCTATTGACCATATTTTATTCAAAACTACATTTCCTGAGCTTGGATTGTAGATGTATAGGTCCTCAAATATGCTTGATGTATGAATAATGAATGCATGAATGACGTTTAAGGTGTCTGAGTTGAAGGTAGAGAATGTGTTTATTGTGGAAAGTTAGGTAGAGTTTAAAATCATTAGAATATTCCTTTAGTTCTAGAGAAATATTATACATGTTTTTAGGCTAAGAGTAGGAGTTCATGCTGAGTCTGATCCAGTCACAGCTAGAGTTTCTAGGTCCTTGACAAAACAAAACCTTCAGATCTGATGCTGAGTTAATCAGATGACAGTTTGAGGTTACATTTCCTGTTTTTTTTGTTTTTTTTCTTTTTTTTTTTTTTTTTTTTTTTTTTTTTTGCTTGCTTGCTTTATTTTGTTTTCTGGGGATTGAAGTCAGGACCTTGTGCTTATAGGGCAGGTGTGCCACTACTGGTCACTGAGCTGAATCCCCAGCTCCACATTTCTTGTTTATTTGGGGGTATTTTCTTTTCTTTTCCTTACATGGAAATCTCTTACATAAAAAGCACACTGAACATTTTATCTTTGTTTCCTTATAATTGTAATTGCTTGAATTTCCTTCCTAGTCAGTTATTTCTTGGTTATGTATACTTATGCTATTAATGATTAATATGCAATATTGTATAATACCATACATTAATATTTTCCAATGTCAGTGTAGAATCTCAGACACTATGGATAGACCTAGAGATCCTAGAAATTGTAAGAATTTAAAGACTGAAATGACTAGTTACTATGCTCTTTCTTGTGACAGTGTCACTTGAGGTCTAGGGTCTAGAAATAAATATGTGTGTGTTTGTGAGCTTATATTTGCTTAATTTTCTCCTAGGCCAAGTGGGATTCTGAGTCAACGTGAAAACAACTGACAGCCCTAGATAAAGATGATTAAGTCAAAAATTTAATCAATAACTTTTATCTCAGCAACACACATCTTTCACCTTTAAAAATTATTTGCATCAATATCTACTTTCATCTAGCCTCAGAGTAAATAAGACCTAGCTGTTTGAAGAGTCAGAAAAACAGAAGTGATGTAGCAATTTTGAATGTCAAAAAATGCTGTGATCAAGATCCAATGGTGTGACTTTCCTTGATCATTGAATACCATAAGATCACTGAAAACCTTGCCAATGTTATTTCTTATATGAATTCTATTTGCATATATGTTTGATGTCTTAGGATAAAAGGTTCCAACTAAATCCAAGCACATGAATGACAGGATAGCAAAATAATGTTTCTGATGAAGGATAGATCATATAATTTAAAACCAAAGTGTCCTCATGCAAAAAAAAAAACCATTTAATGACAAATCTTTCATAATATATTTATTTCAATCCTTGCATATTAATTACTTAAAGTGTATTCTGTCATTAAAGATTTTTTTTTTAAGTTTGTTGTGCGTGAAAAGTCTTCAGTAGTGTGATTGAGAATTCATGAAAGGACAGCTTTAAACCTGTCATTTTAATTTAAGCTAGTTAAAACAATTAGTATCTTCCGTTTACATTTTGAGTAAAATAAGTGGATATAATGTCTAGGAAAGAACTGTTGGTTCCAGCATTGTCACAGACCAGAAGGAGGGGGTCCAAGAAGCTAAAACCAAATCTTAGCCTTGACCATAAAGTTTTATAGTCTTTGGTACTTATCTCGGGGGGCTCTGGAATGTAATTATCATATATACAGGGGAAGCCCGGTGATTAGAAAGTGAGAAGATTTTTATAAGACCTTGTGGCAATCTTTGTGTAAAGTTTTCTTCTGCCTGCATATATACAGTAGAATTAATGAGCTAGTCTTGATGGAATATGAATTCCTGATAATCTGTTGTGCTTGATCCTTTGTATTGTCCTCTTTTAGCATAAATGACAATTTTAAAAAGTGGTATAATTACTTTTAAAGGGGACGAGAATAACTGAGCAAATATATTATCTAGACTTACAGATACACCTTAAATAAAGGGAATGCACATTCCATGAGGCCATGGCAGTGGCTGTATCTGTGGTCTTAGGAGTCAAAACCAGAAGGTGATCCCCAGGGAAAAGAGATCTCCCCCATCCAAGAACTTTACTTTGAATGCAAATATTGAAGCATCTTAGTGAGTGTATGTGCATTTATGTCTCTATATATGTGTACTATAGCAAGGATTCCTTATAATGTTTCATGTACCTTTTGGAGTTCATTTAAATGGACAAAATATCACCTTCTCTAGCTAAATAATTACTTTTTCCATGGTTAGGATTATCAAACCAAATAAATGTAGAACAAAACTTGGTGATACTGGTGATATTAAAATTTAAGTCTGCTGTAAAGTATTTGCAGGAAATTTTCTGTTTTCATTATTTGTGCTTTTTTAAAAAAGAAAGCTTGTGCTTTTTATGTGGCTGTCACTTTTAATTCCATGGTTGTCTTATCTTAAAAGTCTACACTGAAAATTCCCCTTTCTATTCTAGGCAAATAAACAGTATCATCAAATTAAAAACAAAATTATAATGAACCAAAAGGTCATTTGGATGAAAACCATAAACAATTTCAAAGTTCTAAAATGAAAGCATACAGTTTACACTAGAAAAGACAAAAAATGTTTCCACTCACAAGCTTAATTTATTTCCTTTTTCATATTTTGTTTATAAAGTATTTGACAAATCTTTACAGTAAAATTTTTTCCCTTCTTCTTTTTACACTTGATTGTAGCAAAAAGGCTGAAAAACAATTTTTTTTCTTCTATTTTTATACTGTTAACGAACAGTATACTATATGAAATACAGTTATGGAAGTTCTGTACCCAATATTGTTCTCAGAAAAAAATAATTAGAGAAATGGAAATCTGAGTAAACAGGAGAAAAATTAGAAAGTGAAGAGGAAGTGGGAATAGAGCTGTAACAATGCTTTGTGTGTGTGTGTGTGTGTGTGTGTGTGAAAACTACAAGTGGAGTCAGTGCTGGTCCCTATGTATATTTATGATCAATTGGGAGAAAAATCTTGCTTTTTCATTTTATTGACTAACAAAAATAATGCTTTAATGGGCTTTAAGGTAGTGATGGTTGTTAACAAGCCAATAATCATCAAGGGTTACCACTTTCATTCTGTGCTAATTTACAACAACAGATAATTCCACAATTGTCTTTATTCATAAATAGTGTCAAGTTTAACCCTCAATCATTTCCCAAACTGACCTGGAATACTAGAAAAATTAAAAAGGTTATATTTTCACAATGCGAGATCATATGACAGTGGTGAAAATTATCTTAAGACAGGTGGAAATGAATTTATGATTATTAATAATTATCTGCATATAACAATACCTCACACTGAATTATAAACTTATTTTCATTTGAGGTGCTAATCAAAAGCATGCAGCGTAAACATTCAAGAAATACCAGAAATGGTTGTAAAATTAGGCAACAGTGTAATAAGTACACAACATTAATCACATAAGCCTCAATTTGGTGATATTCTGAGATTTCATCTACTGTTCTTTCCTCCTGGTGATACTAGCTAAATGCTGTGAAAGCTATTGGTTAACTGATAAGTCAAATTTGCTACATAAACCCTAAAGCTAAACCAACTCACAAAGGAGAAAATGTAGGGATGCTACCATGACTTAACTTACTAGATTGTCATTTGAACAAATGATAATGTCACAGACAAGAAGCCACAAGATCTGTATTATATGTTAATTAGCATTTTCCCTAGTTACCACAACAGCATGGAAAAATTCCCTAGTAACCAGGGATGATCATTTTTCTTTCTTTTAAGACTATGATTTGGTCTGAAACATTTCTGAGGTGCTCTTTACCATCAGAGTTCTACAGCTAATACCACACTTTCTATTTTTGGGAAGCAAGTTCACACTGACCATTCTGTTCCCGCTGCACTCCTGCAGCCAGGAGGTCTGGCTCTCCAAGGCTGATGTCGTTGAGCCTGGTCCCTAGACACTCCATGCAGAGATGTTTGCACCACTCCTCTGCCTCCAGCTCTGAAAATGAGAAAGTTATATGATGTATAAAAAGTAACAGTGTAAACCAATATTCTATACAATTAATAAGTGCAAATAAAAAAAGACTTCCGAAAACAAGAGAACATGTGTCAGATTCAGTAAAGCTCCGAGGAAAGGAAAGAGAAGGAATGTTTTTTGAACCATTTTTCTTGGTAAGTGGCAAGAGTTAAACAAAAACTATATTCAGGAAGTGAAACAAAAATGCCCACCATTTCTCATTTTGATATTGCACTTTCAAGTTGTTTTAAGTTATTCTTACATTTTGTTTTACTCAAGGTAATAGTTGGTGAATATTTGTTTTCTATTTTAAGTTAAATTAATTTTTGATTTTAAATTACTTTTAAAAACTTTAAATATAAAACTAAAAATACATATATGATTATTTGAAAAATATCAGACTAAATTAAGCAACCGAATGCTTTCCTAATTGTGATTTAGATTTATGTGGACCAAAAATCTGATCTGAGTTATTCTGAATTCTAGTAGAAAATGTATTACCCCACAAATATGATTGCATTTCCTTTATCAACATCAAAAGGTAAACTACCCTTTCTTTTGAGAAAGAGAGATAGATTCTTAAAAGAACTGGTCCTCTTTGGAAAATTCCAAATCCAAAGACATGGATTCTAATCCAAATTCTATAATATTGATTATAATTATTGTTTTATTATGATTACCTCCTCACTTCTTTATATTTACAAGTATTTTTTCTTTGTTTGAAATACTTCTGCATCTTCTCATCATAGAATCTTGCAGGGCCCAATGTGTTCCAGTCCTCAAACATCAATGAATCAGACTTTAAAATCCTCATGTGTGGAGGCAGCTGGGGGTTGAAATCATATTTGTGTTCTATATCACATCACTGGTCAGCACTATGATAACTGGAACAAGGTCTTCTAGCTGTTTTGCTATGCTACTCTAAAAGATTTGAGCATGAAATTTAATATTTTGGGGTAAGTTGTAGTATTACTTTACAGAAATTGCATCAGAACTTTTCCATTGACCCCTGCCTACAAAAAATTTTAACTTTTTCATGTAGCATAATTCTGTACTAGAATAGTTCAATACAGATTTCCATCGTATTTCATTCTGCCTGTGCATGACATTCTAGCCTTTCCCTTGGCATTTAAACTCCCCATAAAAAGTTATCTGTGGTAGATTTCATGACTCTAGGGATTTGTGCTCTCCAAAATGGTCAACATCAACAAACCTAGTCCTGCTGTGCTTCCTTCCTGAGTTTAGTCACAGTGCCTTAGTATCAAAAATAAGTTTGATCAATGCGATGTCCAGACAAACCTGCCATTTGTTTTTAAGCTTATTGAGACTGTAAGATCCTGTTAGAAAATAAAGCAGAAAGAACATGAAAGTCCTCTTATGGTACTGTTTTAGAAGAAATAATAGCTCCAACATTCCAATCAGGAGAGCAATTTTTTTTTTTAACTAAAGCTACTGTCTGCTTATTTCTGGGAAAGTTCCCTCAGTGGTATGAGTCACTTTCGCTTAAATACAAAATCAGATAGATTCCCAAAAAGCCTGACTCACTCAAGTAAAGTCAGAGGCCAGGGATTGATTGGCTACCTGGGCATTTCCTAGAACCCAAGAAATAATCTTTTGAAAACACAAGGCCATTCCCAAAAACAAAATATCTTTGTGTGTGTGTGTGTGTGTGTGTGTGTGTGTGTGTAGAGGGAATTTCAGAATTCAAAGAAAACTTTTTCAGGTGCAAATAATAGCATATATTTAAAATATTTCACTGGATATAGGAGTTTTAATTTATAAAATTCATAAAAGTTTTAGGGCTTTTCTCACAACAAGGCACAATCTTATAGGTTAAGCCTATTTGTATGCTCTATGCTGCATTTAGAAATTTGAAATTCCTGCTAAAGGAGACAATATGACTCTATTTTCTTTTTAATTCTTATTATTCGGACTTTTTCAGGACTTTACTATTTAAAAACATAAGTAAAATCACAATCAATTAACATCTCATCTGCATTATTCTACCTAACAGTATTTTCAGTTTTTCTTGGATGGATATGAAAATATCTAATTTGTTATTTGGGATATGAATTAAAATGTGAAATACGCCAAACACCTTGGTGTCACTATTGTCTGTAAGTCCGAGCATGACTGGAGGTTGAAGAAGTACATCACTCCTTCCTTCTTTCTGTGTACTATTTTGTCCTAGGGTTCAATACGATGAAGAAAGAACCCTATAGTAAAGGGCGTCTGTGCAACTGGTGGTGACTCTTTCATGTAGAACTAAAGCTAAATGCAAAAATTCTGAAAGGACAGGAAGCCAGTAGTTTTCCTACCAGAGCAATATGAGATATCATAGACTTCCACTTTGCAGAAGACACGTTTTCTGTAGTTATCTTGGGAACTGCAGGGTGCCAACATTTTAGTAGTGCAGTAAATAGCCAGAGTAATAAAAATCAGTATGTACAATCACCATAAAGACTGACCTATAAACCATTTCAGAAAGAGAGAGAAAAAGAGAACAAGAGAGAGATCTCTGCGATTCAGAAGTCATCACAGTTCATTTTTAAAAATCGGCATCTGACAGGTACTGTGTTAGGAGGTTATTTAAAAAAACATAATTTCTCCTCTCAGTAATCTTAGAATCTAAAGGAGTGGGCAGGTGAGTTTGGTCTGTGGTGCCCTGAAGGCTGCTAGTGTGGCTAGGAAGAAATTGAGTATGATCGAAAAGGGCTCAGTGAAGTGGAAGATTACCAGAGCAACGACCTGCAGAGCAGGCAGGCTGGTGAAAAGGCGTGCATGTGCGGGAGCGTGTGTGTGTGAGTGAGCGTGCCTACCTGTATGCATGAATCAGTGTGGGTACATATGTGATTGTGCTTGAGCGTGTGTCCATGTGTTTGTGAGTGTGCATCTATGTGTCATCGTGTAGAATTAGGAAGGACAGCAACAGGGGTAGAGAAAGAAAGCCATCTACAGGCCAGTGAGAGTGACATTTATTTGTAGCAGCCAGTGAGAGTGCCGAGTTTACAGAATAAAATTTGAGAAACAGCGCTTGATCATTTCTTTTCATGGCTTGCTAGTATTTGGCTCAACTAGAGAACCCTAAACTCTCATCTCAGAAGTGTGAACCTTTGTAGTCCACACACTTGATATAATAGTGCATATAAGCTCACTTTTTTGAGTAATTATACAGGGCTTTGGTTTCCTTAACCTATTTTTGATGGTCACCTCTCAAGTAATTACAGCTTTGCATTTCATTTGTTCTTTCTTAGGCAACCTCTAGGTATTGAAGTCTTTTTTATCTTTTATTGAGTGTTAATTTATTTTTTCCTATCATTATTCAGCTAGTCATTTTCTCTGAATTATCTTTCATCCACACACACACACACACACACACACACATATATTCAGCTAGTCATTTTCTCTGAATTATCTTTCATCCACACACACACACACACACACACACACACACACACGTATGTTGGGAACTGAAGCAAGCACCAGTGCATGCCAGGCAGGTGGTCTATCACTGATATATGTGAGATTTCAGAGCTGAGATTAAATAAAAATGGAAGTCCTATAGAGCTGGTGCTATTTGCATTTGTCTTACCTTTCACATTTCTTAGTCTACAAATAATTAAATTTCTTTAGGGAAGACTACAGACATTAAAATATTCTTTAAACTTTATATTTTTTCTCATCAAGTTACAAGCCTTTTTTTCACAAGTTGCCTTTTCCCAACAGCAAGCAGCTATGTTCAAATTCTTAATTCTCCACAGTAGAAACCAAAAACTGCTTTCATTATGAACAGATTTAAATGAAGAAGCTCAGTAATTTTCAAAAGAAAGTTGAAAAGATGTTTGGGAATAGCAAGACATTTGATGAAGCCAGACTAATTAAAATGGTTAAATATGTGACAAATAGATTTATTGATTGGAGAGAATTGATGACCAGGGATAGTGCAGAACCATTCTATAGGCAAAATATCTGGGTTTCAGTTCCTTTCCATTTCCTCTTTACAGAATTCTGGGGACAGTTTGACTAGGTACCTTTGAATCAGAAGAGGTCTTTATATAAAAAGTCCTAATAAAGGCCTACCGACAAAATGATTAGATTGATGAAATTCATCGATATGATAATGATAATAAAGTTGTCATCTAAAATGAGAAATTTTTTGAAAACTAAATGAAAAAATTGTCACATACATAGAAAATATGCTATCAGTACAAATCACATAGTTGAACTTTAAAAAGCACTGCATGTATCATGTTAGTTTAGTACAAGGTATGTAAGACTAGATTTGCATGGAAATCATATCACTCTATATAGTCCTCAATGGATTTGGATTTATTAATAAACTGTACTCCTACTTGCATTCAGCATAATCAATAATTCTTAATTATATCTAATTCTTATCTTCTTTGCAGATTTGCTATGGTTTGGTGACAAAGATTATTTCTCTCTCTCTTTTTTTTTTTTTTTGTGTGTGTGTGTGTGTGAGTGTGTGTGTGTGTGGTACCGGGGATTGAACTCTGGTCCTTGTGCTTGCGAGGCAGGCCACTGAACCGCTGAGCTAAATCCCCAGCCCCGAAAAAGATTATTTCTATATTATTAAAGTACTAAGTACAGGCTTTGCCTTAATGTGACAAAAAATATTCCTCCAACTATTGATTAGCAAATATAAGACTTTCTATTATAATATAAGACTTCTTGAAACGGGTCTCATTTTAGAAAACTGCCAAATACTTGCTTGACCATAACAATATTTCAGACTTTTGCTTTTCCCACACTTTTTCTGTAGTAGCTAGATAAGAAAAAAGTTAAAACCTAAGCACTTGCTTCAGCATTCAAGTAATACATTTTTGTTTAGCCCACAGGAAAGAGCATTTGTCTTTGAAGTTAGATTTGTAGGATTTATCTGTATAGAGATGGGGGAACAATTAGTTTTCTTTTTAAGGATGGAAATACCTTTTTTTCTTCTGTGAAGTACTTGTTCTTTG